TGTAAAATATATTATCTATAGTTGATCATTATTGTTGACTTAATGTAAATATATCGAAGTATAAAAATAAACTTACAAAAAAAAGAAGCAAATATGGATGTAGATAAATTGATTAGAGTTGTATATGCACAATTTGCACTAAAATTCAAATCTTCTTTCATAATTTAAAATTACAAGATTGATAAAATAAAAAAAAACTCTAAAGGTGATAAAGTAATATATATTTTAATCAGCTAATGCATGAGTTGATATGTAGTGATACTAAATTGTGACATAGAGCTTCATTTTTTTTTCTTTTTTTCTTTTTTGAAAAATGGGGACAACTTGTGGCAAGCTACGGTTATCCACCATTTCGAGGGTCGCGAAGACTTACAGCAATTTAGATGTAAAGTTGATTAGAGCTATATGCTCATTATCTGCACTCAAATTGATTTTTATTCTTTTGATTTAAATTATTACAAAATTATTATTTGTTTTTTAGGTCGAAATTTTATATTCCACTGGTTATAAAGTTATAAAATACCAACTGATACTTATATTTAACACGTGAATTGAATACAAGCGTGATTAATATTTATACAAAAAAGATAGACAAGATTTAAGCCAAAACAGGTAAGAATTAGTTGAGGATATGATATGAATTATTATAAAAATATGTGCTATTCATACGTTCATTTCTACTTTTCATACATTCATATTATTTTTAATTAATTCAATGATAAGAAATTGAGAAAATATGTAAAAAATAAAAACAAACATGTGAATAACACTACCCCATAAAAAATCCGACAGATTATCAAATGGCTTGTTTGCTTTCTTTCTTTATTTTTTTTTTTTTAACAGCTTTTGATTTGAGAGTCTCAGACGACTTAATCGCAAATTTAGTCCCTCTCCTTCCCTTCTTTTTTCGTTCCTTCCTCTCCTTTATTACTAGTCTACAACTAAATTGCACCAACACTGAACCTTCTCTCTCTCTCTCTCCATTTCTTCTTGCATACTCTGCTCTCTCATTAAACTTCAATCTCTGCAATTCCATTCCTGCGATGGCTAATAATCTCGGCCCAGGTTCGTTAAATCTTCCTTCCATGTTTTGATTATATACGATGCTTCTGATGGTATACGTACGTCCTGATTAAAATTGGGATTTCAATCCATTTAGTATTATATTGGGAGATTTCACATCCGGGTTCTTCGAGTTACTTGTGTTAGCTGAAAGATCGTTGATTTGCAGAAAAGATTGATGATTTCTGATTTCTCGGGCATTTCTTTGTATTGGGTTTCTGTATTTTTGATCTATCTTTCGCAGCAATCAATCTTTTTCTTTACGTGTTTGATCAAATGTCTCTTACATAGCTTACCCACTTGTGAATCTCTCTTAAAAATTCACTTCTTTAAAAAATTCATGTTATGGGTGTATAATTTCTTTCTAGTATGTGATTCGGAATCTTATTGTATTCTTGCTTCGTATAGATGCACTGTGTGTTACGATTTACACTGCACATGTGTGTGGTAGTTGATCTGTTATCTGTTTGAAAAATCACGATTAAAACAATAAGGGATTAGTCGGGTAACAGATGCTTTTGTAAAGATAAGCAATTTTTGTTTACTAAACATGCAGTTTCGAGTTTCCGAATCAGTTAATCTGTAGTTTTAGTTTTAGTACCAAAATTGGATAAAAGAAGGTGAATTGATTCTAACATAGTCCCAGTTGGAGCAACTGTGTGATTTTTAGCTTACTGTATTGTTTTATTAATTGCATAGATGATGAGAAAGTTTTTGAGTTAATTAACGTTAAACATATGTCCATGGCGGACTATTACATATGTAACATCGAGGCTTAGATATAGCTTGTTGAACTTCTTTGCAATATCATTAATACTGCTTAAATGATGTGACTGCAGCTCTGGACAAAAAATTGGTTTTGTGTGAAGATTCTAAAGATGCATCCTCAGATAAAAAAGGAGGGTCACAAGATGACAAGTCCCTGGTTGTTTGCTTTGGGGAAATGCTAATTGACTTTGTGCCCACCGTTGGTGGAGTTTCACTTGCTGAAGCACCTGCTTTTAATAAAGCTCCTGGTGGTGCTCCTGCTAATGTCGCTGTTGGAGTCGCAAGACTGGGTGGTTCAGCAGGTTTCATAGGCAAGGTACATTAGATTCTGTGGATGCTGGTATTAATTTCTCCCCTTGGCTTTTGGCTTTCTTCCTGGGATTTCTGTTAAGAAGAAGGATTTCTCTAATAACATTTTGTTCCACACGTGTAAGAATAATGAAACATAGAAAGACGCTTTCAACCTGTTTACTGAAACCCCCCAATGGTTCAACTCTATACTGACTTTGTTGAGCATGGCATGATTCAAATATGCATCTTTCTCATACTGTGTATTTAACCCATGTCACAATCTCCAGACATGTTTTCGAACGATGTTTTCTCTCAGTTTCAGTGGTTCTCCTTTACATCCAATCTCTGCAGTCGAGCTCCTTTTTAGTTTTAATATATATTTTGAACTAATCTTTTTCTCAAATCTGATAAGGATATTTGAATGTGAGTGGCTCCTTGATTTAACTTATAACAACTTGCATTACAGGTAGGTGATGATGAATTTGGATACATGTTGGCTGACATTTTAAAACAAAACAATGTTGACAATTCTGGCGTGCGATTTGACCCCAGTGCAAGAACTGCATTGGCATTTGTTACACTCAGAGCTGATGGAGAGCGTGAATTCCTTTTTTTCCGTCATCCAAGTGCTGATATGCTTCTACGTGAATCAGAGCTTGACATAAATCTTATTAAGAAGGTGTGCTTTTATTTTCATTTTGATTAGGATTTGGAAACAGTGCATCGAATATATGAAGCTTACCCATTTGTCAGAAATTTACTGATTCAACAATATCATCTGCAGGCAAAAATTTTCCATTACGGTTCAATTAGTTTAATTGATGAACCATGCAGGTCAACCCATCTTGCTGCAATGAAAATTGCCAAGAAGTCTGGTTGCATCCTTTCTTATGATCCAAATTTAAGATTGCCATTGTGGCCATCAGAAGATGCCGCACTGAAAGGCATAATGAGTATATGGGATCAAGCAGATATTATCAAGGTATAGTACCTGAATAAACAAAATTCAAGTGCGGAAGTCATTAACTGTTGCTTAGGTGCAAATCTGCTGTTTGTATCTTTATCCTTGGTTCTCATCAGGTGTTTCCTCAAACTTGCAGATAAGTGAGGATGAGATTAGATTCCTGACTGGTGGTGATGATCCTTGCGATGATAATGTGGTGTTAACGAAGCTTTTTCATCCTAATCTTAGACTTTTGGTAGTAACTGAAGGATCAGAGGGTTGCAGATATTACACACAGGTAACTTTGTCAAATATATTTGATCTTTCTGTGTTCAGTATATTTTGTCTCTTGCGGTAAAGAACTCACTTATCATGTTGTCACTGCTCGACTTCAATGAGTCCTTTTGAGATAGTCCTGCTATTGTGAAGACTTAAACCGACTGAAATTTTTTGTCATCGTATTGTTATTAATATTGTTCAAGAGGCTGTTGACATAAAAATATCCTGTAGTAAAGACGCATATTTTTGTTGAGGAAAATAATTGTTGGACGCTCAGAATGTGATTTGCCTTTTGTCTTCCATTTTACTCGGTTTCATAAAGATTGGTAATATGAAAATTGATGTCACTCCAAATACTCTCAGAAATTCCATGGGCGGGTTGGTGGTGTTAAAGTTAAACCTGTTGACACAACTGGTGCTGGTGATGCATTCGTTGGTGGGGTACTGAACAGCATAGCTTCTAACTTGAGTCTTTTTCAGGTACGCATTGTTCTTAACGGAATTGAGAAAAATCATCCATAAATCTCCCTATAGAATATTTTCGTACACTACAATTCGAATGTGACTTGGTCCTCGTACTTTAAATGTTCTGTTCCGAAGACTATAAATTCTGTATGTAGTGTAGAATCTTTGTATGCTTTCAGTTTGTATCATCTCCCTTGGAACTCGGCAGCATATAAAAATCTTACCTGCAGGACGAGAAGGGGTTACGAGAAGCTCTACTCTTTGCGAATGCATGCGGTGCGCTCACAGTAACAGAAAGAGGAGCCATTCCTGCAATGCCGACAAGAGAAGCCGTGCTCCAGTGCTTAAAGCAGGCTGCTGAGAAAAAGTAGACGGCAATGGTCTGAATCCATGTATCAATCTTAGTGTAATTTGAGTTTGTTTGCTGAGATATCATTGAGCTCTTTGCTCCTGGAGACCTCCCTATAAATTTTCGATTCGACCCCACCCTTCGATTTAACTCGGAGGTGCCTCTGGTACAGCGTACACTGGTGGTTACAATGTAAACCACTGCCAATAAAAAAACTCCAGTCCAAAGTGTGAGCATCATAGCATTTCTGTGTAGTTTACTCAAGTTGTTTCATCTTACATGCGTTTTCGGCCAAATTGCATTAATAAACTGTGTAGTTTACTCGAGAATATTTTTTTGGTCAAACAAAATTTGCTAGGTTAGGTGTTATATTAGGTAGTTTGAGGGGGTTCGAACTCACACTATGGTGTAAGCCTGTAAGGGCTACACTCTTCTTCATCATTGTATTAGAGGGTCACTTGCGGTTTACTCGAGATTTTACTTTCTTCTATCTTTTCACTTTAGTCTATGTTAGCCAAGTTGTTGGAACGTTGATGGCGCAATGAAACTACAAGAACGAAGGTGAAAATCCGAGTAAAAAGTTATTGCAACTTACTTGACCGAAAACTTATTAAGAACAAGCAAAAAGCGTGCGTAGAAGATAAAAATTCGAATTTAAACTCTGATGGTAAAGTTCGTTAAAATTCAAATGCAAAATTAACATCTTCGATTAGTGTTAGTTGTACGCAAATCAGTTGGTGGACTTTTTTACCGCCAATATAACGCATGTGGTGTCGGCAACAGCAACCGAGATCCAACGAGCCACAAATGACGACGCGGATCCAGATCACAAGGGCGTTCTAGTCATTATAATAATCTCGCGGGAACGGTGACCCGCACGTCGAAACGGACCCGAACCCGAATCATGGCAAGCCCCCTGTATTAATTAATCAACAGTAATTAAACAAGTTAAAAAAGGATAATCACGTTTGTTTTGAAGAGAAAGGGAAGAAGAAAATGAGAGTTTGAATCAGAGGCCATTTGCTTTGGCTTGGGGTTGCTCTTCTGATTCAAATTCCATTGAAAAATTGAAAAAAAAAGACGCTAAAAATGGCGTCGAATTCGAATCCGTCGCTGCAGGCTGAGATCGGACCCGACGGCCTTGCTCGCGAGGCTTCTGTCATTACCTACACGGAGAAGGTCTCTCTCTCTCTCTCCTTCCTCTCTCTCTCTCTCTCTCTCTCTCTCTCTAAATTTCTTGGTAATTTGTTGAATTGAGTGTGTGTTGGTTGTGATTTTTTGCAGATAATCGAGAACGAACAGCTTCAATTAAGAAAGTAAGTATCTTTGATTCCATTGTAATGTATATGGATCGTTTTAGGGAATTATTATTGCTTAAATTGTGTGTTTGAGCAGTAATGTAGTGAATTATGGTTGCTTTAATCCGTGAAATGAGTCAGATGATCATTGAATTTTGAGTTGTAGTGATTGACTGATACTTTAATTGGTTTGTTTAGAAATGCAAATTGCTTCAATAAAAAAAAAAAGCAAATTGTTTGATGAATTAGGCATCCGAGAAATCTGAGTAGTTTAGGTTTAATCTGGAAGTTAAGGAAAATATAGATGGCAATGTGAAAGTATTTGGTAATCGATTCGAGGGTTTTACAAGTTGTGGTCAAGAGGTGTAGGAACTAGGAAGCCAACGAACTATTTGAAAATTGGAAGCGTTCTTTGATTACCTTTGTCTTGGGGACCTGGGGTTCACCTGTTTTCGAGTCTTGAAAATGGCATGTACAGTGGGTGAGCTTCAGGATAAGGTTAAAGTCTTGGATTCTGTCTTCTTTTATCCTTATGTCCCTTTATGTTTCTCAAATTTGTTTCAATGGAACATTGCGTTAGTGTAATTATCCATGTTCAGTAAGATTCGATGATATATGATTTCAGACTGTTGATCCCTCCAGATATATTGAAGAAAACTATTCTAAAATACGGGATGTCGAACGAGAGCTGGCACAGTTGTCAATGGAAATGAAACTCACAGCTGGGCCAAAAAAATCAGGTTGCTGCATTATCATTGTTAGTTACTCTCATTATTTGATTTTATAGTTTTCCTCTTCTTTTGTATAACAGTTGATTGATTGCTTTTTTGCCTTTTACTTTGTGTGTATGTTGTATCTTTTGAAGCTCTTGAACATTTGAGGAAGAAAATAGAGATGTCAACGGAGAAAATTCATGCTGCCAAGCTGAAGGAAGAACAAGCACGAAAGGTTCATCTCTTTTAATTATGGAAACGGCTTTTCTTTATCCTTACTTTGTAATGCTCTGTTTTACTTTCATCAGTATTCAGCAAAACTCTTCTGCCTGTTTACCAAGTGCTCACGAAAATTAGTAACATGCTCATTCTGCTTGACCAAGATGACCTTGGATATTTAAAATCAAAGTTTTCATATAAATTTGGTCTGGTTTTGTCTAATTTTTGGAAAGCATATGATTGTATTTGGTGATGTGGTGGAGTTTCAAGTTAAAAAGTAAGCTTGTTAGATAGTTAGACCTACCAAACACATTTTATCAGAGGGATAAAGACACATGAATTAAGATTCATTGCAAAAATGGATAGAGATTGATGTGTACACAGCCGAATATGGTTGTGTAAAATTAGTTTAAAATTTAATTAATGCATGAATGTTGTTTGTTATGCTGTCTGATAGCTGTTTGTTTTGATGTATATCAGGTGTGGGAAGCAGCATTACAGGCTGTAAAGGACGAGGAAGCTATCAAGCAGCAGCTTTGTGAAGACTTAAACCAACTGGTATATATCTTCGTTACATGTGTCCCTTAGGTTACAGACTTGACAAATTGTTTTGACACTCTTGTTTCAAAAGGTGCAAGAAAGCAGCAGTTCTCAGTTTACGAGACTTGAGGAGTTAAAAAGACGACTTGAAGCTATGAACCCAAGCAGATCATCAGCTTCTGTTTCTCATGTAAGTTCTCTTTATATATATATGACGATTATATTTTGTAACATCATGTACGGGTTGGATGGCATTGCAGTCTTTGTTATTAGTTGGTGTAGATTTCATGGTTTTTGAAAATCAACAATTATACCACAGTTTACTCATGGTCCTCATGTGTGTGTGTGTGTGTGTAATTCATAAGTATTCAAGGTAGTGTTGCATCAGGCCTGTTTATAAGAAAAGGTTATGTTTCATTACGATTTGGAGGTTGCATGGTTCTTTTTTTCTCCCTTGTTAACTTTCCAAGAAGTTGTGTTACTTCATTTGTTCACACAAGTTACATTTTCTGTATGCACTATGCAGTGCAGGAGTATATTGAAAGATACCACATAGGAATCTAGAATATTTCGTTGGAAGTTTGAACATAGATTACATTAGAATCATTACTTCTACTCTCATGCCTTGAAATGATTTGTCAGTAGATGTTCCCACGCCTGTTCCTTCTTCCTTCTTCCAGTAGTACTATGGTTCCTCTTCCTATCCCCACATTGCTTTTTTTTTTTTTTTTTTTTTTTCTGCGCATACAATCTTGGAACTTTATTTGACCTCCGCTATCTCTGTCAAGTCCTTGGTTACCTTAGGAAAGAAGCTAAGGAAGAAAGAAAATAGATTATCAGTTTTAGTGAAAATGAGCAAGGGTGACTGGCTGCCATCCCCCAAAATCGACTCACAAAACAGGCACATAGAAGCACTGATGAATTAGATTAAGATTTTACCTCCATATAGCTAGATTAATCTTGAAAAACATCCACACATCTAGCACAGGGGGTTCTGGCTCTTAAATGGTAAGATTTTAAGACATATCTACGGAAAGGAGAAGAGGATGGCCCCCGGGGGTGGTCATGGGAGAGGGCAAAAGTGGGGTAAGGGATTAATGTCTGGTCCATTAGGAGCAAAATGAAGCCGCTTCTTTTCATGAACTATTACATGGCAGTGGCTATTCATACTAGTCTATTATCTTATACATGTATATATTATAACCATTTGAGCTTGGAACTGTGTTTAGGATGGGAAATCAATGGGTCCAGATGCTCCTACAGTTCCGGGATCAACAGAATCAGGTGGAGTCACTCAAAACATCCCTAATCCAAGAAATCCTGGAAATGTTTCGGTCACGAATGGGCACAATCAACAGGCACCTGTTGAGGGAGAAGGAAGAGGAAAGAAGAAAAGTCAGTTCCACGGAAGAGGGAAGGGACTTGGAGCTGTGCCCAAGGGTAGGGGACCTCCTCCGCCCGGCTGGACAGGGGCTGGGTTCGATGCTTAGGGTTGTTATTCTGATTTTTCTCTGTGCCGAAAGCTCTTGGATATATTCTTTCGTCCACCTTTCTTCCCGTGTTCTTTAATTGTCTATAGCATTTGATATCAAGCAAGAATCAAGAATGTAGACGTTGTTGGTCGTTGTCAAATTATGTAACGTGAATATTCACGGTATTCAGGTGGAAATTGTGGGTAATTAACCCAGTGTAGAACCAAGAAAGGATTCAAATCTCAAATGTATCTTCGCTTTGTTCCAATATTTTCCCCCTTCGATCGCTTCGATAGCTTCATCTTCTAATGTTCTATGCTGAAGAAATAATTGCCAGAGACCACATTGAAATAGCGACGAGACATCTGTAATTGCCCTGATTTGTGATCATCTCTTACAAAATAACACTGAAATATCGCAAGGTGTTTTTCTATGCTAGACTTAAAAAGGGGAGGGATTTAGACTCTGAACGCAATGGGTTAAAGCGGAAGGCTCTAATCTTCCAAGGTAATCCACTCCTTGTAAGTGTGAAATTATTTTGATTGGTGAAGCTAGAGTTGAGCTATTCTAACTCTTTGCCCATTTTCCAGACGAAAATGCCCTTACGTTTGACTACTCATTCAACCCTTGCAATATAAATGACCTGTCAATCGATTAGGGTATTTAAGTCTTTTCACTTGCCCAGTGGGTTAAATAATATAGGGAAATTTTGAAATAGGTCCAATTTTATAGCCTTACTTTTGAAATAGGTCCAATTTTTAGTGACTTTTGACTTTTGAAATAGATCTAATTTTTAGTTACTTTGGACCCATATCAAACGACCCCTTAAATATGAGTCTGGCAAACTTAGATCGAAAGGGTTTAATTAAGAGTGTACTCAATTTAATGGAGTCATTTCAGACATTTTCCTTAACAAATGGGGGGGTAAAGAACTTTGAAACAATACTTTTTTGGGAAAATTTGAAATAGGTTCAATTTTATAGCCCAACTTTTGAAATAGGTGTTTCATTCACTAATTTTATAGTTTAATTTGTTTGTTTATCTTAATGTTTGATCATCATTAGGGTTTCCTACATATTATATAATCAAGGTTATAGTATACATCATACTTAATCTCTGTGGAAATGTGAATGAATGTAGAAGCTGCTATGCAAACATCATGCCATGTGATTTCTTGGTTCTTTGAAGTTTTCTTGTTTCTAATGAATTCTTAATTGGTAATCTAAGTTGAACATCACATTTTTAGTGACTTTTGATTTTTGAAATATATCCAATTTTTAGTTACTTTGGACTCATATCAAAAGATCCCTACTTTTTTCTGAATGAGATTAATCTAACTTATCAACAAAACTACAAGAAAAACTTATGTAGAGGTGCCCAAGCCACGTTATTTGTGTGACACTTTGCACAAAAATTTATGATTAATTGTATCAAACCACGCGTAATCTTAGAGAGATTTTTTAGTATGACCGTCACACGAGACAGTACATTGCGTGTCTCTATATAAATGGTGGGATATGTATGTTAAAAAGTTAATAACTTAAAAATTAAATTTTTTCATCACTTACATAAAAACACATGATGTCCCATCCGTGTTTCCATTACAACTAAAAATTTCTCGTAATCTTACTTGGTGCGGCAACAAGCCGGCCGAATATCAGCTCCAAACTACAAGGACCATTGCTCCCAGTTGCAGAGTGGTTTGTGCAGATCTAGATTAAGACAGAATCATATATCCTGGGCTCATGGCATGTCCTAATGCATAGGCCGTATGACACAGCGGGCCACCAGAGCCCAACTTTGTATACAGTTGCAACATAACGTCCAAAGACTAGCTGCCCGGAAGAAGATACGGTCAGGCCCCTGTGGTGTATGTCATCAAAGTTTCCATTTAATTTTTGCATTAAGATTTTCTGGAAGTTAGGCCACACCTCCTTAAATACGCCTGCAACTCAAGTCACCATCATTGGGTTTTCAATTCCCATCAGGACTCCCTTATTATTTGTGACGTCAAGAGAGTTAATGTGAGGATTCGAAAAGCAAAGTTTCAAATCAAAAAACGACGAAATTTTGCAAAAACTTATAAGAAGTTGAGTTAGTATGGTAGTAGCATTTAAATGAGCAAATGCCGTGGCCAGAGCAGGATTAGTCAAATTGTTCACATCTGCAGGTACATAAACTGCTTGAATAGAAGTTATCGACGACCCTCTTTCGTGATGGTAGTAGCATTTAAATGAGCAAATGTCGTAGCCCGAGCAGGATTAGTCAAATTGTCCACGTCCTCAGGTACATAAACTGCTTCAATAGAAGTTATTGACGACCCCTCTTCGGGGGAAGTAACTTGTGACTTTCTATATTGTTAATTGGTTTTATAGAAAATTTTAACTTTCTTCGATTAGATATGGTGCACAATTCACATGGAAATCACATTCATGCATGAGGTTTTTGTCATTTCGGTAGCTGTCATGGTCTGGCTGAGTAAATCGTAGGGGTGGGCGCGGTGCGGTTTCAAGTGAAACCACAACCGAAACCGAAATTTTGTGCGGTGTGGTTTTGAAGCCAAACCGAAATGAAACCAAACCATTTGGTTCGGTTCGGTGCAATTTCAAACGGTTTCGGTTTGGTTTTTGAGAAAAAAAATGTACAATTTAAAATATACACCTATTTATGCATAAGACGGTTTTATTTTCCTCATATATTAATTAATGAATATGCAACAAAATTGCAGCAAAAACAACAACAACGATGCAGCAAAAAACAGTGGCAAAACTGCAAAAAAAAAAAGCAGCAAAAAACAGTGGCAAAACTGCAAAAAAAAAAAAGCAGCAAAAATGCATAAAAAAGCAGCAAAACAACAGAAAAACAGCACCAAAACTGTAGTAAAAAATTGCAACAAAACTGCACCAAATCTGCACCAAGTCACATTGTCGCAAACTCGCAGAGATGTAAGCAGAAGCAACCAAGTCGTAAAATTGAAGATGAGTTTAAAGAAGATGAGTTAAGGAAAAGATGAGTTTTAAGAAGATGAGTTAAGGAGATGAAGATGTGTTTCAGCCTTCAGGAGTCGAAGTGCAAAACTAGATGATAATGATAGTCTAGTAACCTAGTTGAACTAATTAAAAGTTTAAAATATCACATTTATTTATTAATTTTATTATATAGTGCGGTTTTGGTTTCGGTGCGGTTTTGAAAACCCAAAACCGAAACCAAACCGTTTTCTTTGCCGCAGTTTGGTTTCGAAACCAAAAATGTTTCAAAACCGCAAAACCAGACCGTTCGGTGCGGTTTGATTCGATTCGTGTTTCGGTTTAGGTTTCGATTTTCGATTCCAAGTGCCCACCCCTAGTAAATCGTATTTACACGAAAACGTAACGTTAGGCATGAACAAGTAGCACGTTTGTCTGAGACATTTAATTTACTTTCTCTATCGCTATCTATTTTCTTGTAACAATTGTAGCATGTTCTTTCCGTCCAAGAAGGCACAGACACTGTCTCAATTGATTCATAGAAACCCTAATAAATGGAGACCTCCATCGTCAGCCTGCATCATGAATCTCTCATACCTTTTTAAGGGTAAATTTTTTTCAAAGGTACGAAAGTTTTGATAAACTTTATATGATTATATCCATATAGTAGGGTAGAAAAATACAGATATGTAAGCTTCAAGTATTTCCCCCAAATATTTTTATTCGTGCAAAGATTTCTCTAGAGAAGGATCCTCAGACCTCAGCACAGCTCCCTAAGGGATTGACACTTTGGATGTGTAGTCGGGCTTTTGTTTGTTGATGTGCTACAAGAAGAGGACAAAGTTAGTTCTGAAATGTGCCTTTGTGGGGGCTTATGTGTAGGCCTTGAGGCTCGCAATCAAAACTAACTAAGTGCTAGGCGTGCCACTGCTATCTCAGTATAGCAGATGTAGAACAAGTGTGTTTTTAGTCGATTACTTGCACCCCAAGTTACTCGGACTTCTTGTTATCAAAGGATTGTCGTGGATGTGTTAAGTTCACTTTAAGTTCTTTTTCTTGCCTTGTAAACAAGGACTTTTAGTTCATGGTCTTATATGTTGGAATGAAGGGAGTCCAGAGCCCCTTAAGTCATTTGTTTGGTCCTAGATTGCTTTTAATGAAGACATATTCATTAAACTAACCAGATCCAGATACAAATAAGACTCTTAAAGTAGGAAAGCAGGTGGACATGACTTGAATACATACTGGAGAATGCATTAAGTAATATATCTATTAACTTAGAAAACAAACAAAGAGTTTCGGGCAAGGTTTCACCTTGTATGGCAAGGTTGAACTTCTTACAGTTACTTCTCTTTGAAATTAACAGGGGTTATACGCTAAAAAGGGATGGATGGTAAACATGTTTACACAAGGGAATCAATACTAAGCCACTAAAGGAGATAACAGAGCTTTAAACTGGACAAGAGATAGCTTGTCGCTAAAAATGACTGAATCTGGGTTGATTTCAGCTTTTGAATGCAAATCTGGCTTAAGAGCAGAGTTTGTATGTTTGTTTGTTTGATTAGTTGAGTGTCCTTGTCTCTGGAGCCTCTTCTGCCTTTTATAGGCCAATTAGCCCGACTGCTGTGACTTTGCTCTTGGCTGAGAAGACTTCACTTTGCCTTTGGGCTTGGTGCTGGACTTCGGGCAAGTCCCTTTTTAGTTGGCATCCTTGGACTTTCCTTCATCTAGGTTCAATGTTCAAATATTAACCCAAACAAGTTCAAACATCATTTAATTGGATGTAGTCAAACCCTCAGATCTCTAGCCCTATTTATCTGCATCATCAGGACCAATAATTAAATCCTATATATATGCACCAACCCACATGCATGACAATATACATATTATGTCAGTGACATTCCATTTGATTTGAATTTCCCGCTCAGTTTTTTCCATATATTTGTGGCATGTTTAGCTCACTGCCATGCTATGTTATGTTATGAGATCTATAGGTATGTAAGATTATAATTTGAAGAATTAAATGGCAACTATATATATAAACTCATCAATTGGATTGACTGTGTGGTCGATAAAGTTTGGTGATATTAATTTCTCTACCTTAAAGATATTACGTTCGGCTTAAGTAGATGACGGGTTTGATACCAATTAGTTATAGTGAGTTCATATATGGATAAGAGTTTGGTTGCATTGTGTGCATAATGGAAACACTATCTTTGAAATATTTACATATGCACTTTGTATAGTTGAGGAATTTAGAACATAATTCTTCTTTAAAGTTCATATCATGGTACTCCTTTTATTCAGCAACTCTGG